TGGAGTTACTTTATGGGTATTCTAGAGATTCCTAGAAGTCATAATGACATCTCAATCAGACAAGTTTACATGAGATGGTGGTTAAACGCTGGTTCTAAAACTGTGGTTGACATTTTCAAACATTGCCTTCCTGGGATAATAAGCTGGTTTGTTTGGGTCAACTATACAAATATTATTTGGGGAAACCAGAATTTCCAGCCTACTTCGGCCAGTATCATCAGCCAGATAAAAAATTACACGCAGGGGTGGGTTTCTTCTTTTTCCAGGCTCAAGCTGCGATCTGTTGGGGAGGTCCTTTTTGAGGAAAAGCTGATTCCTAGAAATTTTAGGATTACAGGTACTAAAATTCAAGCAATCAAATGGAGCAGACCTAAGCGACAATTCAAGTTAAACGTTGATGCTTCATACCTGCCTGGGAAGATTGGAGGAGGTGCGATTCTTAGGAGTCAGACTGGAGATCTGGTTGCGGCCATTTCATTCCCTGTAGTAGCGTCTTCTAGCTTACAGGCGGAGGTGCAGGCTGTGGTGCAAGCTACGTGATGGGCGCTGGGGTCTGGTTACTCGGATTTTGAAGTGGAGACAGATGCAGAGAGAGCTATTCCATTGTTGTCTCAGGTAGGTCGAAACCGATGGACTGATTCCTTTTTGGAAACGATGCAGGAGGCGTTTACGACAGGGGTAACTTTCAGACATACTTGGCGAGAATGTAATTGGGTTGCACACTTTTTGGCCCAACAGGCTTCAACCCATAACTTTTTTTATCATCTTCCTAAACAGCTTCCAGATCAGGCCCGTAAAGCGTATTACAGAGATCTATTTGGTTTTCCTTCCTTTCGTTGTTTTTATTAATTTTAGTGGTGATATACCCCTGTGTGTATCTGTTTTTTACTTTCAGTTTTTGAAGTTTTGGGAGAGGTCTTGGTCTGGTCCCCCTCTTCTGTGTGTATCAACCTCGATTTCTAATAAAATAATGGCATCTGACTCCCGGCATTTGCCCCACTGATTTTGGTGGTTTGCCTTCCGGGATAAAAAAAAAAAAATGATAATAATCAAACAAGACTATTAAGATCTATTATGAACTCTCATTGAACATTATAGTTAGTACATCTATTATCCATATACTTAATGAAAATAGAGAAAATCTCATCTTCATTTACTTATGGGACAAATAATAGATAAAAATGTAATAAAAATATAACTAAAATAAACGGGGCGGGTACGGGGCAGGTAATGGGGCGGGCATGCATAAAATCGTAACCGTCCCGTTACCCGTAAAAACAAAACGGGTATTCCCCGCCCCATACCCGTTACCCGGTCAATGCGGTTTTCCCCGTTTTGACCGGGCCGGTTCGGTTCGGGTATCCATTGGATCGGTCACAATTGCCATCTCTTATGTCCACAAAATTTCAGCTTAAAATTCAATTGGAAAGTCAATTAAATAAATTATTGAAAAATACCGTGCTTTATTTTTCAATAATTTATTTAATTGACTTTTCGATTGAATTTTAATCTGAAACTTTGTGGACATAATCTACTCTTTATAAAGAACATGCCCAAAAACTTTCATTAAAAAATTCCATCGGGGACCGCCCCAAATGGCGGAGGCTGTACAGAAGGTTATGTCCATCCGGCTGGAGAAGATCATTACTCTCTATATATATTACGCCTCATTGCGCAATGAGGCTTACACAATTTTAAAAAACGCCACAACTACGCAATATGCAGTTTCGAACCTTAGTTCTCCCTTGGTCCCTTGGTGAATATATTCTGGATATGTTTGAAGCACGAAAGGACCAAAAGTGTCAATTTGATAATACTTAGGGGACTAAGGCCATGTTTGGTAAATGGCCGATTAGCCAAAAATTAGCTTGTTTGACTCATTTTAGCGGGTTGAAATGGTCAAACAGCTAAAAATCTTGTTTGGTAAGCTGCTTTTGTATAGCTTCTCGAACCTAAATGCAGTTTTTTGAATAGCTGCTCACAAGGGATTACTGAATTACTCCAATACCAGTGTTGTCAATCCCGGATAACGGAGCATAGCGGCCAGCCTCGAAAACGCTATAACGGTATAGCGGATAGCAGGATGACCGCTATTCAGACTACTTTCAAGTATAGTACATAATTAACTAGAAGAACATAATTACATTACATGCATTTTAGTAAAGTATGATATATGCCATTGAATGTTGCAAACATTTTAACATTCTCAATTCCTAAATTACTGGCAAACATTCCTTAGTTTCACTAGCAAAACACACAATGCTATTAATGATAAAAACATCTAAAGTTTAACATTGAACCAAAAACAAGTTCCTGGTTTAAGGCTTGAAAAATTAATAGTCTATCAGTCTACCACCGGAAAGAAACAAAGAGGAGTGTAGCATTTGTCGTTCTTGGAAAAGATGAAGGAGCACAGGTCATTCTTGAAAAAGATGGCGCAGAAAATTTTGTTGAAGAAGAGCTCATCGCTGAATAGAGAGAAGAAAAGACATACTGATTGTTTTTTTTAAACATGAAGCCGTTTTTAAGGGTTTCTTCACATGTGCATACATGTACAAGGGTTTTAAGCTGCTTACTAGTTAGTTTTGAAAGTCTACTTTACCCCTGTCCATCTCCAGTAAAAAATAAACGCAGAAAAACCCTAGCAGACCTTCGATCTCAAAAAGCGCCGCTATAGCGTCCGCCCCTCTACCTGTATAGCGCCCGCTATGTCCGCTACACCCAAACGCTCCGCTACAAGAGGTCTAGTAGTGCCAGACCTCTCCTCTGCCCCGTTCTTCCGCTATAGCGCCGCTATAGCGCGCGATTGACATCACTGACCAATACTAAATTATTGTTAGTGCGCATTCATTGATTCATATAGTTACTACTATACGAAATTAATATATTTGATTATAGTTACTGCCGTATTAAATCATTATTACACGTATTATATGTTAGGCTATTATTAAACTCGTATATATTGTATGTATGTAAATATATATTTGTATACATATAAGTATATATGTATATATAAGGAGATTTGTAATTTGAATCTATTAACTTTTGCTCATACATGTTATTAGTCTTGTAATTTTTCTCGCTTGTAAATTTGGTCATATAACTAGTAAATATATATATATCCCCGTTCTTTTTTAATTACAACATGTTAAATTTTACATTTCCATCATTTGTAATGAAGCCAAATACTAACTATTTTTTGGCTTGTGAATATGATGAAATAAAGCAAAATGACTCATTAAACCCTAAACTGTCTGCGCTTCCTTGTTATGAAGCAGTAGTCAGTCCATGCAATTTTCGACACGATTTTCACCTTGGGTCATCCGGAAACTATCTCTCCGTGCTTTAGTACAGGGGTAAGACTGCGTACATCCGACCCCCCCCTTACCCCACCATAGGTGGGAGCCTTTGCGGGCTTGCGGCACTGGGGTAATGATGATGATGTTAAATTTTACATTATTCACACATGATCTACATTGACTACATTTTGTTTATTAATATATTATGAATTTAATTTAAAAAAAGTTAGATTCTTCTCAATATAACTTCTAGCTTGATGGAAGCTAGGCACATTCATAAATCATTTTGAGCATCTTTACTTTATTTTAAGCTAAATCAAGTATGTCAATTGTTTGAGACACATGATTGTTCTTTTTCGTATTGGCTAAAGGGTCAAATAGGCCCCTGTACCGGTCGTGTAAGCTCAATTCAGTCCCTGAACTAAAAAAAGGTTCAATTCACACCCCGAACCGATAAAAAATGGTTCAAATTTCATTTTTATGGGTAAATAACCCGTCATCATCGTCATTACCTCAGTGCCGCAAAGGCTCCTACCTACGGTGGGGTAGGGGGGGGTCGGATGTACGCAGTCTTACCCCTGTACTAAAGCACGGAGAGATAGTTTCCGGATGACCCAAGGTGAAAATCGCGTCGAAAATTGCATGGACCGACTGATGCTTCATAACAATGAAGAGCAGTCAGTTTAGTGAGCCATTTTGCTTTATTCCATCATATTCCCATGCCAAAAAATAGTGAGTCTTTGGCTCCATTGTAAATAATTGGTCATTTTTTTAACTTTTTATTGTTTCTGTTTTTGATTTTCAATTTAGTGCAATTTTGACACTTTAATAGTTTAGGGGTCCGAATTGGACCTATTTTAACGGTTGTTTAACCTTAAAAAATGAAATTTAAACCCTTTTTTTCCGGTTCGGGGTGTGAATTGGAATTGTTTTTAGTTTAGGGACTGAATTGAACTTACACGACCGGTACAGGGGTCTATTTGACCCTTTAGCCTTTCGTATTTGATGCTATTGATGTTTTTTGTAATATAAAGTCATCTCATTTCTTTCGAAAGAATTTGTTCATTTAGATTTATTTTACTTTTATTTTAATAAATTTATTCTTTTTAGATTTCAAATAAAATATTTTTTTCTAAAATAATAAATATAGTTTAAACATGATCACTATTGGCATTACTCAAGTATTATATATTTACTCGTGCCCTTGTCTTTTACACTCGAACAACTGTTTTATAACAACTAATTTTACCAATCATTTATTAATAACAAGCTAAGATAATTAGCTAATCAAAACAGCTAACACAATCAGCTGTGATCAAACAGCTGACACAATCAGCCAACAGCTAACGGCTAACAGCCGATTGCCAAACAAGACCTAAATGTGGGAAACTTGGAAGTTGAGGACTAAAGGTATCTCTCCACATAAGTCGAGGAATAAAAATGGAAAACTTAAAAGTCGAGTACCTAAAGTGGCAAAAACTCTTTTACATATTTTCTCTGACTGTTACTGTATACTCTTTTACATATTTTCTTGCACTATGCACTTCGTAATTTTAAAAAAATTGTTCTTAGAATGTAACAGTGTAAATTTTGCATTTCACATTTTCTTTTCTATGCAAGTTAAGCAGTCCACTTTTTCTCACATTTTTAGCTTACATGTAACATGCTCTTTGTTTTTTTGAAAAAATGCAAAACTGGTAGGATCAAAATGCCTAAAACCTACGTCGTTCACCTTGGGAATAGCAAGGAGTTAATGGAAGTTGCTGAGGATAGTGTTGCTAAAAGGATATTGAGAGAGCATGTTCGTGAGTCACTTGGAGTTCGAAATGAAGATATACTGTTTGCCCTCATAAACAGTAAGACCTTTTATTATTGCTCATGACATGCTTTGATTTTCCTACTCACTGCATTAATTACAAAATAATGTAGCACTCAGCGATATTAGGATTTTTTCAGTACTGTGTTTAGTGGATGTTTAATTACAATACATGTTATAGTTCATCAAGATATTTTCATTTAATATTTTTTGGCTTGTCTTATTAGTTACTCCCTCCGTCCCATTAGAAGGTTCCCACTTTCCTTTTTTGGACGCCCATATAAAGGTTCTCATTTCCATTTTAGGAAACAATTAACAATCTTAAGTGACAAATTAATCATTAAATATTAAAAATAATACATTTATAACATCACAATTATGAATACTAACTACATTATAATATATACCTATTAAAATTATTTCTCAAAATATGCTCAAAGTACTTTATTTAATTATTGTCTAAATAACCGTGCCGTTTTGCTATGGGAACCTTCTAACGGGACGGAGGTAGTATTACATAGATTAGACTCTTATTTAGAAACGTAATTCATGTTATAACATTATTCTATATCTGATACAAAATTTCTTAAAACCGCATTCTTGAAATATTCAACCATAACCAACCTTAATCCTGGATAAGCAGGGCCGGTTACATTAAGCAATGGAAAATCTTTAGAGGTCATTCTCTAAAATCTATATTTTCCATTTTTCTGCCTTGCACCATATATGCTTATCAAGTCCCAGTGTCCCACTACTCTGATGTTCCTTTATTTTTTAATAATGCAAGACCCCTACTTCTCTTTAATTATCATCTACGCTCCAAGACTCCAGTCTCCATGCAATCAACTCTCCCTAACTATATATTCAATAGTGGCGACACCCCCACACACTTGAATACCTCGTGCGCACTCTATCTTTGCTAATCTTAGCACAACATATATATTGTACTTGTATAATCATTATTATCAATATATTATTATTCTTATTGACTAACTTGGTATCCAAAAAATGAAGTTAGTCACTTAATCACATGTACTAGTACTTATTTTTACCCAAGTACACCGTTTTACTTCGGTATGCTTTTAACTTCAATTTCACCCCTGTAGATCCTCTGTTTAACCCAATTTCACCCCAATATGCTTTTAACTTCAAATGTACTTACTTTCACCCAAGTACACTGTTTTACTTTGGCTTATCTTTATGGTTCCTACATGTCATCATAATTTTTTAATTTCATCCATTCAAACGAAATCATCCAAAAGTAGGGGTGATCAGTAAAACTGCAGAACTGCGAAACCGCACCACAAAAGCAGTGTGTTGCAGTTTAAGGGTTACAGTGTGGTTTAGTATTTTTTGAACTCGTATTTTTACAGTGCTGTATGCGGTTCCAACTCTACATTTGGTTTGCAATTGAACCACTCCCATCATGAATTCTTAAGGCTTGGATGTTGTTGTATTTTTAGAGTGCGATGTGGTTTCCAATTCTACACCCGGTTTGAAATTGAACCACTCCCATCATGAATTCTTATATTTTTTGTTATTACAATTATTTTTGAGTCCATACTTCTCTTTTCCATGTTAGTTTTTAATATGTTTTAGTTAAAAATAATAGTTTGTTAATGTTATTTACAATTTGGACATTGCATTTGGAATTTTTGTTTGAATTTAGACTATATAGTTTTTAACTGTTTTATAACTTTCATTGAAGTTTTTATTGTTTAGATTTACCATTATCATACCTTATACAATGTTAAATGTGTATAATAAAATAATAAGATTTCTAAAAATTATTTTACAAGCTTAAATTTATATTTAATATACATTTTAAAGCCAAACCGCAAACCAAATAGCACTGAATTGCGAAACTGCTATTAAAGTTCGGCCATCATTTCCAATGGAGCCAAAGACTCACTATTTTTTGGCTTAGTAATATGATGGAATAAAGCAAAATCCTTAAGTTCTATCTCTTCTTCATCATCATTTACCTCCATTACTTGTTCATTTTTCTTATTTTTCCTTGGTTACCCATCTGCTTCTTTGTGCAGAAGTATGAATAAGTTTTAATGACACACAGAATGCTTAATGGGGAGTATATGTTTGGGTTTGAATGAAACAAGACTTGTTTGGGTTTAGTGTAGACACATGTCTCATGTATGAGCCTTTTATTACATAAAAACACTGCCTTTTTAAGCTACAAACACATTTAAAAGATAAATGCCTCAGATAAATGCCTCAAGGCGTATGCCTTGAATTTTGATGCATAAGCCTCTTGTCCTGCAAAAAAAACTAAGCCTCAAAACCTTTTCTGTACGCCTCATCTTGAGGCGCGTCTAAAAACCCGCCTTTAAGCGCCTTTTTAAACCATGCATTATACTATTATGTTTTACCTCTATAATTTGGACAATCTTGTACATCTCCTTAACTCTTGTGTATTGGCACCAAATTGTTATTCTTCCGGTCATTTGGCATTATTTGCCTTCTTTGTTAAACCATTGCCCATAGCCAATAGGCTGAAATCCAATTTTATTAACTGATAAGCAAGAATGAACCCTAACAAGGGGTTTAAAAACCCTTCCAATAATAGACCAAAAACAGAAACCGTAATCGAGCCCAAATTTAGTAAACCCTAATTAAGTATTTAAATACTCTACTAATAACAGGCCCAAATTTGAAAACATAACAGAAAGTTTATAATAAGCAAATCTAAAACTCCAGCCAACAGCCAAACCACGAAGGTGGGCCCAAGCCCGTCCCCGAACTCTCTTCCTCCTACCCGAGCTCCTGCTCTATATCAAAAGATCCTTGACCCAATGAATACCAGCTCCTGGGTCTAGAACACCGATCTTCAACGCATTGTCATATTTTATAGTTAAGGAAAAAGGGTCAAATAAGTCCTCTTACAATGGTAAAACCATCACTTAGAACCATGTACTAAAAAAACATCACATAACCATATTTACTTTATAAAAAGAATCACATATGCCAAATTACCGGAAAGTGACCACTTTTTGCCGGTATTTTATGATAGAAATCGGGCCTATTAAGCTAATAATAGAAATAATAATAACAATAATAATAATAATAATAGTAAGTGTACATGTAGATAATAATAAGTGTACATGTCGTAGTATAAATAGAAGGGGAGGGGTGGAAAAAGAGGTAGGCAAGTATTCTATTGAGTTTTGGGTTAGGAGATTGGGCATCTTAAATGGTCCTGTGTACTGTTTTCCCTCTGTAAATACATCTCTCATCAACAAAGCTTTCATGATCATCTTCTTGATCTATTCTTTACAATTTCAGTAAGATGTGTTAGTCAATTTACCAGTGTTCTAACATTGGTATCAGAGCATTCATTTCTTGGAGTCGGAAAAGTGGTAGCAGAACAAGAAAACTCACGTTTCAGCTGTGAATGGTCTCAGCTGTGAATGGTCTGGAAGAGAGTAAGAATGGAGAATAGGGTTGATTCTTTGGAGAATAGGATGGATTCTGTGGAGAAGAAACAGACATCGCTGAAAAGAAGCATGATACATATGAGAACGATGTTAGAAAACATCGCCGGATAGCTAGCAGCGATTAACGAACACTTCCAGACTAGAGGACGATCATGGTTACCAAGAACTTCTCTCAGTTCGCAATCTTCGACGCGAACTACTGTTTCTCCTCACAGTTCGTCATCGCAAGTTGATTCCCTCATTCTTTCGCAGAAGTCTTTGCAGTCAGCATCATCGTTTATTTCTCTTAGTTCACAGATGCAAACCACTTCTCCAAGTTCGCAAATGCGAACCAGTTCTCTCAGTCCGCAGGCACTCTCACATCAGAATGTAATATAGAAGGAGCTGCAAATCAAACTGATCTACAACATTAATTATGATATATTTTATATAGAATCAAATCTGATCTTTAGCATTTATTGTAATATATTTCATATATAATCTTACCTTGAATAGCTTACAAATTCCCTGTATAAATTGTACAATCTGTGCATCAATAAACTAAGCAATTACCTATCAATTCCTGCCTCTCTCTAAACTCATTATGGTATCAGAGCCATTTTTGAGCTCTAACCAGCCTTTCCATGGCCTCTAATGGGTTTGAAAACCCTTTCTCTTCCGCCTCCCCTTCTTCAAATGAACTCCCCCTTTATCTCATATTTCTTCAATTGAGACTCACAGAGCCTATGGATTTGAAGAACTGCACTCTCTCCTTGTTGGATTCGAAGACAAATGTCATCGCAGGGAGAAAGCAATCTCTGGCACTATCACCACTCCGAACCCTGCGGCCTTGGGAAGTCAGCCAACAAGTGATCCTAAGTGATCCTCTTGCTCTAGCCGCTTCATGCCAAATCTCCAGTTCTGCCCAGTCTCTCCCCTCTCTCTTAGGACCAGGGCCTCAACCCATTAACTATGGTCACAAGCCCAATAATGGACGGTTCAACAACAACGGACGAAACAGGTTCAATAACAATGGCAGGCGTGATGGCAGAAACAATCAAAAACACTATGCACTATGCTACTCAGCCAAATCTGGAACTTAATCGCCCAGAGTGTCAAATATGTGGAAAAACAGGGCATGTTGCCCTTAATTGCTGGCACAGTTTTAAAACCGATGGTCGTTGCTTGGTAGCTTATACCATGAATCAGGGAATCTGCTTGTTAGAGTCCCACACCGGAAATGTTTGAATCAACAATGTGCTATATTAAGTTCTGGGCTACTCCTCGTATCAGGTTGTCCTTTTAGGATGGAACCTCAGATCTTAACATGGTATCAGAGCCAAATCGATCCATGGTGTGTGGCCCATATGAAAAATGATGACATAGTTATAAAAAATGACAATAACGACCAGATGAAAAAAAACGGTTTGATGAAAAAAAAGAATGATGACACGATCCAGACGAAGTGTCTGGTCGTGAGGAGAGGTGTTAGAGTCCCACACCGGAAAAAGTTTGAATCAACAATGTGCTATATTAAGATCTGAGCTACTCCTACCAGGTTGTTAGAGTCCCACACCGGAAAATTTGAATCAACAATGTGCTATATTAAGATTTGGGCTACTCTTCCTATCAGGTTGACCTTTTAGGATAGAACTTCAAATCTTAACACTGCTCGATCACTAAGGCTGAATTGAGAGCTGCTGTAACAGGGTTGTAGTTGGCTTGGGAGAACGGGTATAGGAAGGTACGAGTGTAGCTGGACTCGCAAGCTGCAATCTAGCTTGTGTTAGGAGTCGGAGAGATCACGCAACAACACTCTTCTGAGGTCGTCGATTTCCGGGAGCTGTTGGATCATGACGGGATGATTAAGGTTGAGCACATTTATCGGGAGGGCAATCGGGCTGCTGACTATTTAGCTGACCTCGGTCATAGTTTACCTCTTTGTATTCATTTTATTTCTAGTGGTGATCCTACTTTTTTGGGGTTTCCCATCCTCGTATGACTTTTCTACCTCGCTTGAGTTTACCCAAAAAAAGTCTCAACATGTGAATTCGTTATATAAAATGGATACATAAATATACGTAGAACTTTAGTTATTTCCAATTGATGCCTGTGTAGTTGAAATAATTGGTTATATTTTCCAACTTCCAAGCTAGATAATACTGTAGCTCAACCGTGACAAGTCCGCTCTTATGAGTTGAGCATTGTCCATATGCTACATGCTTCGCTTTCTTGGATGTAACTTCTAGATTTGTTGTTCCAGGTGTTTCTCGTGGCAAAGGTCAAGATTTGTTTTTGCACTCCTTCTATGAGAGCCTTCAACTGATTCAGCATAAAAAGTTGCAATTGCCTTCCGTGCATGCTGTTGTTGTAGGAAGTGATATGACAGGTCAAAGCAAGTTTGAGTTGGAGCTTAGGAACTTTGTACAACTTAAGAAGATCGAAAACTATGTGCATTTTGTCAATAAGACTCTGACTGTCGCACCATATCTTGCTGCCGTTGATGTTCTTGTACAAAATTCACAGGTATGAGGTCCCTTGGGTGTTATGTAGGATGTTTAGTGTAGCCATAAGTATGTTACTTTCCAATTGCACTTCATGCATGCACATGCCTAGTTTGCTGCTCATCCTTTGATCTTGCGAGGGCAAATACATATTATGTAACCTTACTAAGAATTTGAGGTGGAGCTCGATGTTACTAAGTTGCAATAACTAGCCTCATATTTTGTAATACTTAATGTGATGCTCTTTCTTTTTTTTTAGCCATTACTACGTGGTTCTTGCATGGGTCATTCGAAAACAGTCTCTCTGTGCTAAACGGGGGCAAGATTGCGTACATCCGACCCCCCTTACCCCGCTGTAGGTGGGAGCCTTTGTGGCACTGGGGTGATGATGATGATTATGATGACGACTACATGGTTCTTGATAGTTGCTATTCCTTGGTTATTACTTCCAAGGTTGTTAAAATATGTTGAGAACAGAAAAATAAAATCAATGGAGTAAAACCTTTGCCCAGATAATCAACGATAAAAACCGTTGCCCAGAGCCAAAAGGCTGAAATCCAACTTTATTCCAAGATGGTCAAGAATGAACCCTGATAAGGGGTATAAATAGCCTTCTAAGAGAAACCCTAATCAAGCCCAAATTAATTAAATCCTAATTAAGCCCATATTAACTCTACTAAGTACTCTACTAATAATAGGCCCAAACTAAAAACATAACATAAACTTTATAATAACATATAAAACTATAATCCCAGTCCATAACCGGCCCACGGAAGTGGGCCCTATCCCGTTTCCCCCCATGCTCTTCTTGCTCTCTATCAATCCATCTTCCTTCGAAATAACCTTGTCCTCAAGGTTGAAATCTTGCAGACCGAGGACTGAAATTTCTAGCCATAGAATAGACTGGAAAATATCATTCATCTCCTTCTTGAACCTTTTCCTGGCCGGTTATTTCACAATACTCATGCTGTTGGAGGTCCAACTCCTCACCCTCCTCAGCTATCATTACCCGCAACCCCTTAAAGGGGCAGTTATGCCCTGGTGTAAATGGTTTCTTACACCTAAAGCATAATCCTTTCGCCCTCAATTCCGCTAACTCCTTTGGCGGAAGTCGAGTGAACTGAGAGCGTGTCGTAGGCTGCGTGAGCAGCCCTGACTTCGTCCCCGGGGGCTGTTCACTATCTTTTGGAAAGCTGCCAATCGATCCCTCTAAGCTGCCACCACTGGCAGTCAACGGAGGACCCGTGTTTGACATTAAAAAGCTGCTGGAACGTGCCCCTGTAGGATTATAATTATGCTCCACATCGCGAGCTAATTCCATGGCTTATTCCAAGTTACCCTATCGAAACAAGCGTAGCGAGTTTCAGATTGATTCTTTTAGCCCGTTCATGTAGTATCTCAAATAATGATCATCGGACAATCCCAGAACTTGGCTGGCTAACTAAGCAAATAGGGTATTGTAGTCCTCCTGATCCAATTTGTTTGGCGCCAGCCAACCGCTCAAACTGATTCCCCTGAAATCGGGAATCGAATTTGGCCACCAGAGCAGCAGAGCTTGCTTGAAATCTGCCCAGGCCATGTCGGGTTTACGCGCTCTCGTCCAGGTTACCTAATAGAGGGCAACCCCTTCCATTGCAACTACAACCACTCCCACTTTCCTGTCCAGTAGGGTTCTGTTGAGTTCAAATTGCTGTTTAACATGCGTTGTCCACCCAATCGGGTCTTCCCCGTCAAACGCGGGCAACAGGGTTGGTGCTGTGTTGCGCGGCAGTCCATCGGCGCTGGGCGCGGTCACGGCATCACTTCCGACCGCAACCGAGGATGTTTCCGGCGAGACCGGCAGCACCAGGGCTTGGGTTAATGCTGCCAGAGATGCAGCGATCTCAGCCAGCCGCAAGCCGTGTTCCTCCAGGGTTTGATTCGTCCGAGCTTGTTCGGCCTCCAACTCTGTCAAGCGATCGTTCTGAGATCTCGTCATTTTGGCGGGATGAGATCTGGCAGGTCTGACCAATTGTTGAGAACAGGAAAATAAAATCAACGGGGTTAACCGTTGCCCAGATAATCAACGATAAAAACCGTTGTCCGAGCCAAAAGGTTGAAATCCAACTTTATTCCAAGATGATCAATAATGAACCGTGGCAAGGGGTATAAATAGCCTTCTAAGAGAAACCCTAATCAAGCCCAAATTAATTAAATTCTAATTAAGCCCAAATTAATTAAATCCTAATTAAGCCCATACTAACTCTACTAAGCATTCTACTAATAAGAGGCCCAAAATAAAAACATAACATAATCTTTATAATAATAAGTAAATTATAATCCAAGCCCATAACCAGCCCACGGAAGTGGGCCTAATCCCGTTCCCGCCCCGTGCTCTTCTTGCTCTCTATCAAAATCGTGATTCAAATCGTGTATGATTTTACGATCTAAAATCACTAAACCGATCTGAATCGTTTGCAAAATCGGAATTTATAAAAATCGTAAAAAAATCGTTTTTGAATCGCTAAAATCGTCACAAATCACGATGTAATGCGATTTCCCCGATTTTTGAAATTTGACGTAAGCACTCACAATACCAGCCGAATTTTTCAGGCCTGTTAGGTAAATTGAAGTGCTTACTGCCTGCTTCGAGTATCCCAAAGTCTAAAACTAAACAGTTATACAGGCAAGGGAGGAGGAAAATTTCCAAATCTCCTCAAAAACCAGTTCACTGGGTATTAAACCCACGCCCAACTGTACAAAGAGTGTTATTGCACACTGTTTAACCAACTCATCAATGACACCTTTGTGTTTATATCCAACTATTGATTTACTTATTCAATATGCTACAGAACAAACATACTAATAGACTGTTAAAACATCAATGACACTGTTAAAACATCATTTGTTATTTTTGTGTCCTTTGTCCTTTTTTACATTAACATTTTTTTGTGATTAATTATTTTGTTCACTTTAATTAACACATTATTATATGACTTAAACTTATAATGGTTTGACTTAATAATGTTAAATTTTGAGCTTTCTTTTATTTAATTTTTTTAATAATTTTTATTCAATTATTTTGTAAAAGCTTACGATTTACGATTCGATTCTACGATTCAATTTTTAAATCCTTCTACCGATTCGATCAAAAAATACGATTTTAACAACCTTGATTACTTCTATAATTCCATTGCATACCTAGATCTCATATTACAATTTAATCAACGATAATCCCAGGCTCCCATTCTCTATACACGTCCATGGATCATATACATTTAAACGCAATTTCACGTTCATTGTCGTAGAAATTGCGACATTTTGTGGTAGACATTTGCCTTGCTGCTTCTCATAGTTTCTCCAATGAACTGTAACAATATGGGGTTTCATTTGCATGTATTTTCGCACAAGTGAATTGACACCCAACTAGATTAAGCGCTAGTTCATTTGTAGTAATATCTTTTACAAAAAAACTGCTTGGTTTGAGTGACTTATGTTGCCATGCTTGGTTTTCGTTGGATGTTCAGATTTCAAATTTATGTGTTAGTCTTGGAACAACTCCAAAAAAATAAAAAATGTTCAGTTTATATGTATTTTTTTTTTGGAGATTTGGTTATTATTTTTCCTGTATGAAACTATGCTTCAAGCTTCTAATATTGTTTTTTTCTGAAACTTGTAACCATGTAGGCTCGGGGAGAATGTTTTGGTAGGATTACCATTGAAGCCATGGCCTTTCAGCTTCCTGTGCTAGTACGTGATGTCTCCTTACCATGTTCCTAGTATTAAAAGTTTTAACTACATTTTTTCACTTTACTGAGCGTGAATAATTCAAAACAAGAGTTCTTTCTGCTAATGGTACTTGGCAATGACACTTCTGTTACGTCTTTGAATGTTTTTTTTTGCAATTTTAGTCCACTGACTGCTGTGATTCATACTCCCTCCGTCCCGAAATAAATTTCCTGCTTTCCTTTTCAGTCCGTCCCAAAATAAATGTCTCACTTCTTTACCTTCCTTATTCGGTAAACAAATCTATACCAAACAGTGTCAAATAGTGCAAAACAGTGTCACTACAGTGCGAAACAGTGTCGCTACAGTGCCAAACAATGTCGATACAGTGCCAAACAATTCATTTTCTTAATCTGTGTGAAAGTCAAAGCGGGACGTATATTTCGGGACGGAGGGAGTACTTTTTTATATCTGTTTTAGATTTTTTTTCCACTTTTGGAGAATTAGGCATCTGATTATTGTGACTAACACTTTTAGTCCTCTAACTAGTGTGACCTCTAACGGCAGTTAAAGTTTTGGTCCTAAAGTGTCAGTGGCAGGAGGCTAAAAGTTGTAAATCCAAAGATGGATACAAAAAGTCACTATCACTCTGATACATAGACTAAAAGTGAAAAATTCAAAGACGAGTACCAAAAATGTCATTGCTATAAAGTTAAATGACTAAAAGTGGATAAACTCTCTATTTTAATAATAATAATAGTGCCTTGCAGATTAATGACTTGCCTAAGTGTGACCGGTACGTGAAATATTTAAGTAAAAATGTTTGTGCGGATAGAAATAAGAACCACTAATTAGTTACTAATGGAAAGTGTCAAAGTTGTAGTACAATAAAAAAAGAAAAGTTGTCAAAGTTTTTTGGACAATCAAAAAAGGAAAGTTGTCCAAGTTTTAAGGCACAGAGGTAGTAGTATTTATGACCCATAACATAATGTTAATCAAGTATATAGGCAATTCTAGAAGATAATCCCATCAATTTAATTAATTTAACTTCACATTATGAACACCTTGTTACATGCCCATTTCTTTATGATAGGTAGGATTTTTTCATTATATTCTTTTAATAGTTTGAAAGAAGTAAGCTCTGAATGGTTGCTATTCATTTGCAAATTGCACTCCAGGGAACTGCAGCTGGCGGTACACAAGAAATTGTTCTGAATGGAACAACTGGTTTACTGCATCCTGTGGGAAAAGATGGGATAATGCCTCTTGCAAGAAATATAGTCAACCTTGCCTCTCATGTTGAGAGGAGGCTTACAATGGGTAAGAAGGGCTACGAGAGGGTGAAAGAAGTATTTTTGGAGTACCATATGGAAGAACGAATTGCTGCTGTTTTGCAGGATGTGCTTCAAAGGATGCCTACGACACCACAGTCTAGAATGTAGAGCACAAAGTATGTTAATATAAAATCACACGCAATGTAGTTCTAGGCTTTCTTCCGGACAGATAATTGATTTGTTTTACGTTTTGCTAATTTGTACAGACTATATTGTTGACATTAGTTATATTTTTGGGATCCTAGTGTACTCAACAATTTCCAGCATTCTAATAGAGTTTCTCCCCTCTAAATAGTGCTCTTTGGTGACTTGGTATGATATCTAGGACTTGGGGAGTTGGGGGTGTTAAAGAACAGAGCTTAGTACAATCATCCTGAGACCAAGTTTGGCCCCATTTGGTAATGAGTAATGTTTGGGTTCGAGTCAAAGCTCGAGGAGTTCAAAAAATGAGGTTCAAATTCAATTGTATACATGTCTAAATGTCTAATGTTCCATTCAAATGCTCTATGAATGTGGTCGTGTTCAGGAGGTAAGCTTATGTTCCTGCTCAAATTATTTGATAATTGCTTGATTTAATAATAATCAAATTGAAAGTAACAAAATTGATACTAATACCTTTAAATTTTGGGGGAAAATAATTATGATATCCCAAACTTTAATGGGGTGTGAAATAAGTACCTCAAACTTGCATATGTTTTTTGCAAATACAAATTTCTTAAAATAATTACATAATTTAAAATACTCTATCCTTTGTTAGAATCCTATATATATATATATATATATATATATATATATATATATATATATATATATATATATAGAGAGAGAGAGAGAGAGAGAGAGAGAGAGAGAGAGAGAGAACTTCATGTCCACCCGGCCTGACGGGAACCGCCGTCCGGCTGAGGGCATTTCGGGCACTTCCCGATCGAATTTTTTGATGAATTTTTTTGAGCATGTTCTTCATCAATTCTAGTTTATCCATACCAAATTTCAGCTCAAAATTCGATCGGGAAGGCATTCAAATCATTTTTTGAAGTTGACTGCGTTTTTATATGTATATTTTGACGCAGTCAACTTCAAAAAATTATTTGAATGCCTTCCCGATCGAATTTTGAGCTGAAATTTGGTATGGATAAACTAGACTTGATGAAAAACATGCTCAAAAAATTTCATCAAAAAATTCCACCGGAAAGTTATATATGTTGGTTAAAAGCATAAAATAAATTGTATAGTCTGAATAAAGAAAGGAAAAGTAGGGGGGGAATGTATCTGGGATGTTTTCTTTTTTTTCTTTTTTTTTTTTGCAATTTTGAATTTAAATATACTAAGGATATGAAAATATGCATTTAGAAGAAAAATCATAGATAAACACGTAATACATATATAAGAAAAAAGTACATAAGACACTAATAAGGAAAGAACATTATTACTACTAACCACTACTTAAACGGATTACTAAATAATTAATGCAGCGAAAGAGAAATGACAATATCTCTTTTACCCCTTTAGAAAGAAAAACGTAAATTAAAAATAGGGGATGATTCCGGTGAGAATGATGTCCCAGGAGAGAAATGAGAACAAAATACAACCATAGATATGATTGATCGGATGGACAACAAAAAAAGGTGATTGGCATTTATTATGCCAATTATCGGTTAATTTAAGTGGATTCCTAAGAGAAATTCTAATATTAATTGACTATCAAGGGCATGAATGTCTAATCATGTCTAAAACAGTTTTCCACGTTAAGTGCAAATGGGCTCTTTCCTATTATTTAGCCAATCAATTACCATGTAATGATTATGACCATTTATTGCTTTAAAAAGTTTTTTAAATACTTTTCTAAACTTAGTAGTCCACGATCTCCACATTAAATGCTCTTCGTATTTCATTTTTAAATAACGGATTATTAGAAATTAAAATGAGCAAAATTTCAGTCTGAATAAATAAAAATAGCATGTTTAATTCATTAAAGTGCATGCACATAAATTATGATCATAAGCATTGTGCAATATATATAGTTGGAATGTGCAAAAAAAACTATGTGCATTTCAAGGTTTAAGGACATGCACTTCTCCGTGAAGCGTTTTGCACTTCAAATATCTTTTGCATCCAGTGAATGTTTAGTTTGCACTTTTTATAGAATTAAAATGCACTATAATTATCCAGTTGTGCACATTCATACCTGTTTTTAATAAAGTAAAAAATATAAATATATAAGAGTGTTGACTTAATTATCACGTACATTTTAATCGAATATTTGAATTTTTATGCACAATTAGTAGTTTACATAACTGAATCCATTCTTCAATTTAACGTATATAAAGTAAATACCATGTTGATTATGTTATTTTGCACGGTTATAAAATGCAATTCTATATGATTTCCTTAAACCTTCTATAACATTTACAATACATCCATGCACTTGTGAACTTCCAAACATGTTTTGAATAAAAACGATTTTAATTAGAAATAAAATGAACATAAATATACAAGGGTGGAAAACAAACAACTATCGTGTGCATTTTTATTGTATCTAAAAGTGCACTATTATATTACACTTTCTAAAATTCTACGTATGCCATTTTTTATAAATGAAATGCACTTGTATAATGTGAATCTGAAATACATACTAAAGTGCACTATTATATCAAATTTTCTACATTTTACATTGATAATATTTATAGAATCCAATGCACTTTTTCTTCCAAAAGGTCATAATTGTTCCATAGACACCGCATCGTATCTGCAGAAAAGAGTAAAATATACGAAGTGCATGATCAAGGTATGGTAAGTGCAAAAATAAACATATACAGTTGCATCAAATGATATAAAGAATGAGGTTCCATTACTCAATGCAGAAGAATAGTCATTAAAAGTGCAGCAAATACTAAACACAATGCATGAAAATATTTGTACAGGAGCATTAGTATGTTGTTGAAGTAGCAACCCACTCAAGAGGTAAAAAGACAAACATAACCACAAATACAAATGTGAAGTACTTCGTATATAACAAGAAAATATAAAAAGAAAATAAAAAAGTCAAATTGTTCATGCTTGTGCATCTGTTCATCTATGTTAGTGCAATGGTATGTGATTCATATAAGTTGCTTCGTGACATTGAATGAAATAAAATTATAATATACACAAAATGAGCATAACGTTGATTCAAAACTTAAAAAACTTAAAAATTTTGTTTGCATGGTTATAGTTGTAGAATTAAGAGACATAAAATAAGCATAAACTAAAGCTCACTTGAAATATAATCAATAAGATTTTTAAATAACTATTTAAAATAGAGAATAATAAAACAAAAATTTTAAATTGGATATAAACAAATAAATGTCGGAAGTTCAATTAGAAACACAAGAACGTTCCCCGTCTAACTATCATCCATGAAGAAGAGATGATATTGTATGAATATTTTTCTTGTATGACATCTTATAAAAGACGCGGTAAAAGAATGGTGAAGAAATGCAGATTATTTGGTTTTTGTAATGGTGAAAAAGAAAAAAAGAAGATGATAGAGAAAAAGGAAGTGTCAAGGAAAAGAAAAAAATCAGAGATGTGGAATAATAGAAACGGTTGAGAAGGAAAGGAGAGAAACTCATGAGGGCCTAAAATATAGGAAAGTGATTACTATTAGAATACGAGAATGGAAAGAATTTTGAAAGTACATGTTTAGCCTTGTACGCAATAAGTAATTAATTCTCTTAATATTGCAATCCAATGGCTTAGAATGATTCTTTTTTCTCTCCCTAGATCTTATTATATATAAATATATAAAGCGAGAACCCTTTCTCCATACAATTTTCCGCTTCTCTCTCCTAAACCATTTAATAGTCGGTCTCTCACATAATCAGTTACTCCCTTTATTTCTTCCTTTTACTCATCCGTTTCAACGGATGTTGCGCACCCAAAAATGGTTCATTAACTTTCAAATGTCGTAAAAGATCACTAACCTTTCATTATCATGCCTAAACCATGAACTATAATCATCCATCTATCTGGAGTATCTATGACACTGACACTGCAAAGGTTTGAATAAGCTGGCTAATTAAAAAAGTTTCTCCATCTAGAAGGTTCAATTCATGCTTATCTTATTTAGTTTAACCTTATTGTCCGATGATTTAGATCAGATTCATCACACCGACCTTTCATTTCCTCACCTTGTATGTCCTTTGGCCTGCGGTTTCTACTCCTTCCATCATTGTCTTCCACTCCACCCAGGGGCGGACCCAGGAAATTGATATTGGGGGGGCGATAATTTAAACAAAAAAGATCTAGGCGATTATTATTATAAGTTATAACCTTAATATAATACGGAGTAGTAATTAAATGAAGCATTATAATAGAAAAAGAGACAAATATATTATTACAAAATAGTTAAAGTTAGTACCTTAGAATTGTACCCAACGCTTCTTCAACGAGATAAATTCCTCAATCACGGCTTTTTAGTCAAAAGTTTTAGCAATTTCTCTTTCAATATAAACAATAAGGTTGTCTGCAACATACTCATCCTCCATTTTATTGCGAAGCCTTGTTTTTATGATTTTCATTGCGGAAAAAGTCCTTTCGGTTGTTGCTGTCGAAACCGGTAGAGTCAACAAAAGTTAGATCAATTTATCAACAAACTAAGAAAGTACACTTTTGACTTCTCCGTCTCCGCTAATCTTTGACAAAGTTCACCCATTGTAGAAAAATTCGCCAACTTTGGATGGTTTAGAGCATTGAGCTTATAATGTTGCAATTGAAACCTCAAGCTCACCTTATCCTGCTCAATAAAACCAAAGGGGTAATATTTATCCATTAAAGAACAAATATCATCAATGTTAAAAGACTTATATGAGTCCTTAGGATTCAAAGCACCACTAAGAGTAAGAAGATCCATTATCTGTTAACCGCATAAGGACGTTCAATATCAAACCCTTCTTGATCATGGCGTTTGCGTTTTACCGCATAAGGAGACTTCATATTAGGAACTTCAATTTCATGCTTTGTGCAAAACTCTTTAACAATTTCTAAGAAGTTATCCCATCCACCCTCCCTTAACTTTTGGATCAACATTTTGGTGCTTGACACCAAATGCATAGCATTTACTATGTCTCGGCACTTCTTCTGTATATGCTGACATAGAAGATCTGTAATGCCCATAATTTCTTTAATAAGATGCAACAAGAAAACAAAATCAAAAGATTTAATCTTCTTAAGTTCTCTAGCTGCATTTCCACGAGTAGAATAGTTATTGCCATTCTCTTCAACATCTTCTAAAACAGAACAAGTTGCAGCAAACATCCTAATCAAACTGCAAGCAGAACTGAAATGTGAGCTCCAACGAGTTTTCCCAGCTTGTTGTA